CACGACCCTCACAGGGTCAGACTAAACGATCATAGCGGTCCGTTCTGGCTTTGAAACAAATCAGTGAATGATGAAGATGGATTCCTGGCTGTTAACACTGCAAGCACAGCTTGCTTCACCAGTGCTGATTTCTTCAGTGGTAGAATTAGCCTCACTCCAGCTTAACTTTGTGTGGCAGTTCTGGATTTCCTCTGTGAAGCTTCTGCTGTGGTATTTCTTTTGCATTTGTTTCCTTTTCACCTCTATCCTTTGAAATGTATTCTCACATGATTTTGGTATGTCCACCTTCAGATGCCTTCTGAGGCCTGGTTCACCATGCACGGTAAATTTTGCTCCTCTAAGTATCTAAAACTGCTATGCTCAAATTAATGATCTTCTTCACAAACCTTAAACACTTGCTGAGGTGTTCCAGGCATAGCAGTTATGTCCTTCATTTCAACAGAGCACCAAGCATGACTGTGATCCTACCTGTTAATTACAGATACCACTTGTTGGGCTTGTCTCTCTTCCATCTGTAATTGTTCAGCTTGCGAAAGGGCTGACAGTTGAGTTGATGATCGCTGGCCACCAATACTGTTGGCATTGCATATCTTACACTGTCAATCTCCTAAACTTTGTCAACAGCAGCACCACACTTGTTGCTGCCCCAGTGAAACCGTGCAGGTTGATAGAGCAGTGGCAGGAGGCATGATGGGTTTCCAAGTTGAAATCAGATTTACGTGAGCATGCTTAACCACATGGAGAGCAGCCCCATCCCACTCTGTAATCCATTAAACTGTTTTGGGCAGAATCTGCATGTTCAATGAATTAATTAACCTCTTGCACTCTTTGCACAGCTTTTGATAAATTCCAGTGATGATGTAGCTGCTGTTTCCTCCTCTTCAGCCTTTTTTGACAGCCTCATCCCACAGAATATGAGCACATTGGAGATTCCTGTCACAGAAGGTATGTTAATGAAATTTGTTTCTGCCCTCTTAGGAAAGGGAGAGAGGAGGGCAAATCAGAACATTAGAGAGACCAGGAAGAATCTGGTCCACTCCAGTAGATGGATACTTTTAAAACACATGACCTATCTTGATGTCATACAGCATCTCTCAGCATTGTGCAAATACTCTTTGCAGATAAGAGACTCATTAAAAATATAGGAGAATCTTTTAGATGATGGAAGGTTTAATGTCAAGTCAGTGTTTTTTTTTTAAAGTGCAAAACCTGATTTGACTTTCCAAATCTTCTTTTAGCTGGGCTTCCCTATGTTATTGTTTTTACTGCCTAGTTTTTAAACCAGACATTGTCAATGAACTTGAATGATGCCCCTGTGGATTGACCCTGCTTCTCACCTCTGCAGATACAGATGGACTCATCAGCCAAGCCCTTTTGTTGGGGAATTTTGAGGGTGCAGTGGAGCTGTGCATGCGGGCAGAGCGCTTTGCTGATGCCATCATCTTGGCTATAGCTGGTGGGGAGAACCTCCTAAAGGAAACCCAGACGCGATACTTTGCCAAGCGTAAGACAAAACTCTCCCTAGTAAGTGACAGTTTTGTGTACCCACTGAGCAGGGGAAGGTGTGCTATATCTTGGCAGATGTTTGTCTGAATATATGTGGCAATACTTTGTCAGGAAGTAGAATGTCACCAGAATCTGTGCATCTCCTCTTGGCTAGACATTTAATCTCTTGGTAGTTTTATGACAACTTCATGTTGCCCACCTGGGATGCCTGTGTTCTCTGTTCCTTTCTTTTAATCTTCTTCCTCAGCTCCCCATGCTTGTAACCTGTGGAGTATACTGCCTATTTACACCTCAACTAGGAAGGTCCTAGCTTATTAATTGACAAATGAGGAAGCGTAGCAGGGGTTGGAATATCCTAACACCATATTCCCAGTCATTGATATTAGCTGCTCTGAAACAGGGTATGTTTTAGCCTTGCCTAGTGCAGCTGTTCCCATGTTCTCTAAGTGCTTTGTTGGGCTTTTTTGCTTTCTTTAGAGGCACTGAGTTCCAATTACTGTTAACATTGGGATGCTGGGATTGATGGACCTTAAAGTGCAGTGAGGTAGTTGCTGCATAGTAGGAAGTGTGCCTGAAAGTGAGCTATCCCTGTGGGTGCACTTGCTTAAGCAGTCAGCTTATCTTTGTCTTCAGTGACTGACAAGCCTTCTGCTTCCCTTGCAGCTGCTTTCCTCCATTGTTCAACAGAACTGGCAAGATATTGTTTGCACATGTGATCTACAGAACTGGAAGGAGGCACTGGCCATCTTGTTAACATACTCAAAGCATGAGGACTATACCCAGCTCTGTGGTATGCAGCATACTACATTTTGATACAATTTTTCTTAGGGGAGGGCAACTCTGGACTGCTTATAGAAGGAAGTGGATACCGTTGAGGAAGGAAAGCACTCCTTACTTGTTATGGCTATCTGGAACTTATTAAATAAGTGTGGACTGTTGACTTAGGAGAACGATGTATGCATGCTGTAGCTGAGAGTCACGGTGTGAAGTTTTATATGCTGATATTTCCTGTCACCTCTATGAACAGCATGGAAATAAACAGGATAGGCACTAGACTGAGATACTGAGAGGGTGATATTTATTATTTTATTCTGTGGAGAAAGGAATTTCCTTGACAGTAAAAGGACAGGTGGCTTCACTCCATCTGAAAGAGGTTTGCCATTCCAGTGTGTTCCCCTCCCTTTTAAGCTCAGAAACAGGGGTTAATAAATATTTGATGGCTTCAGTAGTTTCCTCAGTCCTGTTAATAGTCCAACATGCTCAGCAACTGGTTGTTCTGAGAGCCAGAGTTAGTGACTCAATCTAGTGACTGAATCTGATGAAGTTACTCATGTGCTTAGCTGGGAACTAGCTCCTGGCTGATGGGAACAGCTAAGGGCATTGGAGAAATTCCAGCACTTTATACGAGTAAGATGACACAACTTGAAATGCAAGAAAACATGACGTCGTTTACAGACCAGATTGTAAAGGTGGAAAGTGGCGGTGGTGATAATGAGATAGCTTCAGCTCATCTTTATCTCCTAGCATTTGCTAAATATTGACAACTACCAGATTGCTAGCTGTCCCTGGTACTGAATGCTGCTGTTGCCTGGAGATTCCCACACCTTTTTGGGAAAAAAGCATTGGATTTTTTCACTGAATTGATCCGTCATTTTTAAGGGCTTTTCTTTCTTTTATATGTCTGGGCAGATGTATAAAAATTGGCAAATATATTAAAAATTACTTCTTTTTCAACCAAGTTGGCTTTAGGATTCCTTAATGATGCCATTTCTCTGTGTTATCCAAGAATTAGGTGCAGATCCAAAGCTGTCAACACCTTTTCATGCCAAGCCAGAGTAGGATTGCTAATAGATGAGCGTTTGGGTTAGTGAGCTCTTCAAAAAGAGAGTGTGTTAAATGTTGGCTGTATTTCTTCCTCTCTAGACATGCTGGGTGCCCGTCTAGAGTCAGAGGGAGATGCAACCCTGTCCAATGATGCCTGCCTCTGCTATATCTCATCAGGCAATGTGGAGAGGTTGGTGGAATGCTGGGTAAAAAACCACGAGACTTCATCACCCCTTGCCCTGCAGGTACAGGTCCTATAATGTTGGTTTGACTCCTTTTAGGCTAGTCTGGTAGCTGTGGTCTGTTTGCATTATCCCATCAGAGTAACTGGCTTCCAGCAGACAGTGGAGACCTGTTTATAGTCCCCAAGGTATCTCCTTCTAGCCTGGGTTACAGGCATGCATCTAAAGGAGACTTACACTCTTAAATGTTAAGGGTTTGTGTGTTTAGACAGTACTGATTACATTGCATAGAAATCCGGCTGTAGACAGGAGTTAACGACCTACCTGCCTGTCTTTGTATACTGATGTCATCTCTGAGCTTTCTTTTAGTCAGGGAAGTTTACACTGTACCTATTTTCTTACTGGTAGTTGCCTGGGAGTACATTTGCTGCCATGCTTAACGAGTCTAACTGTAATGCTCCAGTTATCTGGCGGTACCTTCAGAACAGCCTCTGGCAGGATAAAACAAAGTCTAGTCTGTATTATTTCCACTTCAAGTAGAATGATCATGTATGTGAAGTCATGGCTTGCAGATGAATCAAGGCTTCTAAGTCAGTGTTGTTACCTACCTGTTACACTTAAACCAGTCCTGACTAGCTCACTAACCCTTGTTGTGTCCACCGGTCGCTAGAATGAACTGGACAAGTCTTCCACTCAGATATCTGCAGGTAATGCCCTCTGCTACAGACTTCCCTGGTTTTGCCACACAACTAGTGAATAACAGCAACAAAAAGGCATCTTCAGCGTTCCTGGTTATGTCTGAAACGCGTCTTCTTAGTTATCAGCCAATGATGCATATCTTTTTCTACAGATGTAAATGTTGGTTTGATTTCTAGGAATTGAAGGAGCTTTGAATAACTAAACACCTTCTGGTCTGTTTGTCAGCAGTAGTAGTCTTCCCTAGTGAATTTCTCCTGGTATAGTATTAATCCTTCCTCTTCCAAGCTGATAGCTTGTAACTCCTAGAGTTACAGTAGTAATTTCCTATTAAAAAGATTGCAGTTGATTGGAATGTCCTTGTGACTTCTGATTTTCTTTTTTCCCCTTAACATAAAAGTAGCAGTGTCAGGGTTTGCTTCCCGATTCCTGTTTTTCTCCACAAAGTGCACCTGAGGAAACAGTAATCAGTGGTAGATTCTGATGCAGAGTGGACTAACTTCTGTTCACATTGGACCCAATGTCAGTTGAAAGTGAGGAAAGCCATCTCGTATTGTCTTGGCATGAGACAGACCAGTAGAGCCAGTCAGATTCTAAGAGGTCTGTTTCTTCCCTCTCCCTGGCTTATTCAGGATCTTGTAGAGAAGGTGATGGTGCTGAGCAGGTCCATTGAAATGCTCCGAGGCACGGCAGTACCAGCGCCAGGCCCTGTCTTGGCAGAACGAATCACCCAATATGCCAGTCTTCTGGCATCACAAGGATGCTTGGCAGCCGCGATGAATTACCTACCCAGCAGCTCTAAAGAGGTGAGTGAGAAATGTTTGAGTAGTATATGGGGAAAAAATGATACTTTGTACGAGAGAACACTTGTGTTTTGGCATGCATCAAGGCTTAGGGTTTCACCTTTATTGTGGTAACTTGAGAGAAGAGGTGTGGAGTTTTTTTCTAGGACACAGCTTTAGTCTTCATTTGCTTTTTATTTGTAGTGCCTTTGATTCAGGGAAAAAGAAGGGAGCTATAGAACTGTAAAATGGTTCCTGGATAACAATGCTGGGAAGCAGCTCGTCAGGGAAGCTGCACTTATTCCTGAAACTAGCTGGTAGAGTAAGGGAATAGGGAGCTCACTTTGTAGTTTGTAACAAATCTGTCTATTGCCCAAACGTGGGTAGAGATTGGGGAAGGAAAAGTCTAAAGATTGGAGAAAGGATCAGCGAGACTTCATCTGCCTGGGAATATGGCAGGTGATGTCCCATGTTGTCACTTACAGTTGTTTTTTGTTTTTTTTCCTGGTGGCTATTGGAGAAATCGTTAGTTTTGCAGATTGATGCTCAGTGCTTTGGGTCAGAGTCTGCCACCTTTCATCTGAGGCTGTCAAGGCCCTTCTTCTAAAACGTAGTTTGTTTCAGCTCCTGATCGAACAGCTCCGAGACCGGCTTTTCCATGCTCGAGGAGAGAATGTGGGTGAACAGCGATTTCCCTACACTCATGTCAATGTAGGTGTCATTAAACACACATCTCCAGCAGCCAAGGGTGGTTCCACCCCTGAAGGAGCAGCCCGCAAAACAGGTCCTAGACATCCAGAGAAGGTAGACCTTAAACTCAGGTGTTCATGGCATGGGGAGAGGGAGGAAGGCTACTGGGTTGTGGAAGGCGTATGAAGTAATAGGAGATGATGCAGATTGCAGGCATTGAGGGACCATCAGTGATGTCCTTCACTGGAACAAGCTCTGTGATAATCCAAAAGTAGGCTGTTTGCCATCTTCTTTTCACAAAGCCCTGTCCCACATGCAGCCTATTGTGGTTTAACCTGGCTGGCAACCAAACACCATGCAGCCTACTTGCTGGTGGGGTGGGGGTGCATAAGAAGTTGGGAGGGAACAAAGAAAACTAACTCTATCCCAGCTGAAACCAGGACACAGTCACTGGAGGAGACCATTACAAGTGTAGTGTTCCACTGAGGTCTCACATACTGAGGGAAAAGGGGGCTGTGGTTCACTCTCCTATGGCCATCTCACCCTCATATCTCAGTAAAATTAGTGTAGTATGGCTTAATCTCAGTTCTTACACAAGAAAACTGTTCAGGAAGTTTTGCTTCAAGCCTCTATTACTTCCTTATTGTTCCTTCATCATTCCCTCTGGTTGTGCTTCCAGGAAGTCACTGTATAGGAACTGGCTGCTGAGGACTAATGCTTGTGATAGCTGAAGGATACTCTGAAGAGTGTGGTGCCCAGCTTGTTGAGCAAGTTATGTGGTGGGAAAGGCCTTTGATCCAATCCATCCAGGGCACTGACAGCAGCAGCATCTTCTCTTGCCTGAGAAGTGACAGGGATAGAAAGTGGATCTGCTTCTGTGTATATGCACATGACCGTGTTGGCCATTTTCAAGTTCTTTGTTTTTTAGTTGCAGCTCAACTGTCAGTCATCATTTGCCCCTTCAGCACCTTCTCAGCCTTCAGTGCCTTCCTTCTTCACGCCTCAGCCAGTGCCAGCGATGTCTATGACACCTCACCACATTGCCCCTCCCCAGGCCAGCACGGGTCCACAAACAAGTGTCTATTCCAGAGGGCCTCCATTCCCACAGTACAACTTGGGCTTGGTTCCACCAACCGTTTCAGGGCCAGGTAAGCGTTTTCTGGTAGTTGTGTCCATTCTCCAGGTTTTCTTAGACTAAAGCCTGCAACACGGATGACTGCTCTACTTTATTCCTCACAGGCCTGTTGTACTTGCAAAAAACAAGTCAGCTGTCTGAGAGGCTTCTCAGTGCTTCTGACACATCTAGTTCTAGCAACTGTTGCTGCATGTCCACTGATATTAAGCATGTATAGGAATGGAGAAGACACAGCTAACTTTGTGGCAGAGTTTGACTGATGTAACCTGGGTTATGGGAGATACACCTGGCATGGATATTCTAGGGTATGGCTTGGGGAATAGCAGACTTACTAGCATGAAAGAGAGCATCAGGAGTGGTTTGCATATGAAACAAGTGATGCTGATGCATTCTCTTTCTCATTTGTAGCTGTGTCACAGTCTCAGACATTTGGACCAGTGGGAGTCAGACCTGTTGGTCCTGCTCCCTTCCCCAGCCAGCCTTCTCTGCCAGGACAGTCCATGCCCATGTCGTCTCCTGGTATTCCACCACCTGGACCTACCCTCTTCACTCCAGCCTCAGTTCCATCATCTCAACTTCCTGCAGCTTGTCCTCTTCCTGTGGCTAGCCAGCCTCCTCTAGGTTTTTCTTCAGCACCTTTCAACTGTCCCATGAACATCAGTTACCCTCAAGGAGGTCCTGGAGCTCCATCTGCTAAGACCCTGCCGGCAGCCAGCATTCCTCCTCCTCCCACAGGTAAGTACTGCTTGTGTGACTTGTGTGTCCAGAACACTTGTGAATGGGGCTTGCAGTACATAATGGACATGGACCGTCTGAGGTCTGGTCTGTCACCATAAAGGCTGGATGTGGTGCTGAGGCTAACTTTACAGGCACATTGTGCTGAGTCTTGCTGTGGTGGTGAAACACAGCAATGACGACCATTTCATTCAGCCTGTTCGGCAGCTCTGTCCCCCAGTTTGTGGCTACAAGATGCTGTCTCTTCAGATCTCCAGTGCACCCTGGTAGTCGTCCACTCCAGAGGCATCTGCTCTGACTGAAAGGGTGGTGATTCCCAGGGAATGCCTGGTGGAAGGCTTGCTGATCTTGCCCCTGCTTACGTAACTTACACAAGAAGTGCGTTTGAAATGCTGAGAGAGCAGGGTGCTGCTTCTCTGTCTGTGGGATACCCCTTGCTTAGCTTCAGGATGAAATTCCTCTGACTGCTGCGCTCTAGTTCTCTCTGTTTTTTTCCTGTTGCCATGAAGCACTTGCCTGGGAATCACTTCTGGATTCCTCTGTGCAGTGCTCCAGACCTGGAGCCTTTCCCCTCTGGGTACGTAGTTTGAATCCAGTCCAACCTGCAAGTCGTGTGAAGTCCTTGCTAGCATCACGAAGAAGAAGAGTGTGTTGTTGGACCTAGTTCCGAGTCAATGGGTGTTCCCTCTTTCTGTTTCCCACAACATCACCACTTCTGATGCTTGTTAATTCTTTGCTTGCTGTCTCAGGGGACAGGTCTAGCCAGGCTGTGGAGATCCCTAACAGCAAGGCTGTCAATCCTTAGATTTTTAAGCAGATGCTTCTCCAAGCCACACGTATTCTGAGAGCGAAGGAACTGAGACTTTGAGGTTTGCCTCCACCTGAAATCTTTTGCTGAGCTGTGTTTAACCAAGGATAGCAAATCCCCACTGTGTGCAGCCTGTGGGGACTACACACAAAGGCTCTAAGCTGAAGCTGGATAAATTCTTTCTGAAAAACTATTGGGGATAGTAGTCCAGGGACATTGCTCACTGAGTGAAAGCTGTTGGTGATGATGACTCTCCCACCCTGCCTTGATTTTCAGGTTTCTTCCCTTGGCTAGATCCCCACGTGGATCATGCAGGTAGTACCCAGAGAAGCCTCCAGACCTGTGGGGGAGGCAATGTTGCTGCTTCTAGTGAAATGTGGGATGTGTGCGCACGTTTTACTGTGTGTGCATGTTTGCATGCTCATTGCTATTTGTTATTTCCTTGCATGCCTGGGGAGCTATACAGCTGGGGTAGTGGACAGTACTTGTCCTGAGGACTAGAAAGTGACAGTTGAGGATGCTGGAAATGGAAGCACTGTGCTCTTACTGATGAGTTTGGGTGCAGGAAGCAGGGGCTCCTACTTCTTCCTTCTCTACTTTCCTCCAGTCCTGGAGGAATTAGAGCATTCTTAGTTTCTCTGTTCCTTCAGGTGGTTGCTGGGCTAGCAGGGCAGGGAAGCAGCCCCTTTTCCTTTCTTAGTTCTCTAGGCAAGGAACGGGCCAGGGGTTGTAACTCATCTCATGGCTTTACTTGGCATTTGTGCTTTCCCCAAATGGTTTGGAAGAGGTGAGTCCCAGCATGAGTAGTGGTGGAGTAGAGCTTCCCAAGCAGAATCTGGAGACTATTCTAAGGGGAACTGGAAAGCCTTTTTGCCTTTAGTCACAGGGCAAGGTTTTGCTTTGAATCTCAGCCCATCTGCTGAGGAGAATTCGGACCATAGAGCTTTTCTGACTGATGCTTCGTACTGATTTTCCTCCTTGGGATTCATTGATGATGAGGAGTGAGGAGTAGGTATCTTCCAGTCTATGTTGTCAGTGGGGTAAGCCTCAATGTCTTAGTGAGCTGTTTCTGCACAGCGACTGCTGCTTGTGTCAAAGACCGTCTGCCAGGCACGAAAGATTATCTAGGCAGTCCAGCTTTTTTAGGAAATGCAGGTACTCAGTAGCCACTTACACCACCAAGCAAGCCTTGCTGTGTGGAGTTCAACTCTAGAAAGGGAGTTGTCCTTTCAGCAGAGAAACAAAAGACTCCAATGTTTCCCTGTTAAAAGAAAGATGATTCCATGGCAAGGATTTTAAGCACTGCCTCAGGCTGAAGATGCCCTGCAGGAATTCACTGCTGACAAGTTCTGTCCTCCTGGCAGCATTTACCCCCAGTTTTAATGGCAGCATATGGCATGCCCAGATCAGCAATGCAAACTGACTTCCTTGAGAGTGCTTTCCTGCCTGATATTATTGTTCTGGTTTTCATGGGTACTTTTCTTTAGCCTGGAGAGGGTCTGTAAGATCACCTGATCTGACTGGCCTCATTTGCTTGCTTTGGAAATTCCTGAACATGATCTGAACAGCTCATGAACACATTCTCAGTAGCGAAATGAAGAGAGATCTCCACCTGAAGAAATCCCACCCTCCTGGGGAGCGTCAGGGACAGGTTGAAGGACAGCAACATGTTAGCTGATCTCCTTTCTGGACAGGATAATCCCTGACTCCAGCCAGTGGTGGTCTTGTTTTTTCTAGGACAGGCATTGCTGGAGACCGCACTCCTTTCAGGGCTGGTGAGAAATCCTCTTTCACAAGTGGCATAGGCAAGATAGTCAGTTTCATCCCAGCAAACTGCAGCAGGGTCCTGTTGTCTCATGTCTGATGATTAAATGCCTGGCTTAAATAAAGACTAGAATTTAAATAGCTCTTTCCTGTGAGGATTGAAAGTGCCACTAGGTTGGAATAGTGCCAGCGACTGCTAGGCCACAGGCTCGGTGGGGGCCAGCAGAGTTCTAGGGCACAGAATCCCCAAGCTAGAAATAAGTGCCAACTTAATTAAACAACTGATCCAAACTCATCAGAGAGCGAGTCTTGAAATGATGGGAAAAGGGAGGGCAAAAAGAGGCTGCCAGAATTTTAATAATAAAGGTAATTAAAGTAATGAAGCACCTTTTGCATTTTTCCCCTGTGATTTTTAAAGCTCAGTTCAGGATCAGTGGCTCATTAAGTGTGGCACTGAGCTCCAGCAATTCTGATATTGCTCCTTAGAATTATGCTACTTTCTCACAGCTTATTCCTGTCTCATGGGCTTGGGGTAATCAATACTGGGGTTACAAAAGAAGCACTGAGGTTTTGTCTAGAGATGCAGGTATCCTTGCGGAACAGCAGCAGACAAGGCAGTTGGAATTTGTCCTTTGCAGAATGAAGTGTGGTCACAAGTCTCCTGATGTCATGTTGTCTGATGGATTTTTAATTACCTGGAGTGAGGTTAGAGGCTAGGTACCGCAGAAGCGTCTGCTGAGAAACCCCTCTGCTTCCAAGGCATTTACTGGTTAAGTCTCTTCCCTTCTAATTGGGAAGCCAGCAAATTTTTCTAGGGTTTGATTCTGAACATGATTTTGGAAAGGGAAAATTTCAACCCGCACCTAACTTTTCCCCCCTTTATCACAGCAACCTGCATTGCTGTGGACTGCCACCGTGAGGCACTCCTGCGAGCACTGGTGAGAAGCCCTCTCTCACCTGTAACACAGCCCTCGCTGTGGTACCGCAGCAGCGCTAGATTCTCTGCCTGGGGAATCCCAGGAACTCCCTGAACCCTGATGTGCCCACACAGGCAGTTCCCGACCAAGGCTCAGGCCTGACGCTGCGGCTGACTGCCGCAGCCTGTGCAGAATGCGGAAAGCTTCAGGTAGTTGTGAAAACGCTTTCAGTGTGGGAGTGGGTGTGTGCCAGTTCAGTCTCATCAGACATCACCTCTTGAAGCCTGAGCACATGCTTGGATGTAAAGAGTGTAATTAAGAAAGAGAAAGGGAAGCAAGAGCAGTTCTTGAGCTTGTGAGCTGAGCCTGAAATTCCTCGGATTAAATGATCTGAAGGGTGCAATGGTGGGGGAATTGGAGCCATGGGCACTTTTGCTGAGGGAAGTTCCAAACCATGCAAGCAACCATGAATTGTTGCTGTGGCCACCTTCTCAAAGTCTGACATTTGTGTCTTGTTCTCTCTCCTGGCAGCTCAGGAATCTTGGACTGATCCATCTACTGTAAGAGGAGGCCTTCAAAAGAAAAAGGTAAGCTTTCAGCTGCAATTTGTGTTGGTTTTCTTCTAGCCAGGGAGCTCCATGCAACAGATACATTCCTGTAAATTCTCTCTGTCATGCTTAGCAGGTCTCATTCCGTCTTGGTCTGTCTACTTCTGCATTACTTGCATAGCTAGGACTGGAGTCTAAGTCATCTTGACCCTTTGCCATCCAAACTCGCATGCCGTTCTCCAGACTGGCTGTTTTGTAACATGATTATCACTTGTGATGGTACATCCTCTGTTGGTCCTTCCCAGACTAACTACAACTTGTTGCTAGAAATATGGATTTAACGTTGTCCTCTTGCCCACACACTTTTTTTGATAGTGGCTGGGGAGATCACGCTCACTTAACACATGACAGTTGAGGGCAGCATTTTGCCTCAGGACAGTGAGACTCTTGGTGATTTTCCTCAGGTCGTGATACCAACCAATAAGGCACTTCTGCTGAAATAACTTGGGACAGGTGTAACTGTGAGCTGCCTGCCATGTTGGCCCCGCTGCTCTCTGCGTTGTAGTGACTGCACTAGAGGACGTGTGAGCTGAGCTCTTTTGCAACAAATGCTCTCAGTACCCCATTTCTATCACTGCTGCCTGCTGGCAGGTGTGATGAGAAGCTTCTCTGGCACTATTGCCATCCCCCACTCCTCTTCTTTAGCTTGGAACAGACTTCTCGCCCTTTTTCTGGCAGCATAGCTGGGAACCTGCTTTAGGCTGTGCTCACTACAACAGGATTAGCCTCTTGTTAAAGCCATCTTCTTTTGATCTAGGCCCCTCAGAGTGAAGCTATCCTGACTCTGGCTTAGCAGGGGCACGATGAAGTGTTTGCAAGAGGAATCTCCCCCCATGTCGTGGGATTTTCCTCAACACTTGCTCTGTTGGACACTTTACTGCTACTAATCTCTACATTCAGGACTCGTGCCGTCGCAGAGCCAAGGCGGCTTTCTGAGGACCAGTGCTTTCATGGGCAATGGATCTGTTTGATTGAACAATTCCAGAGGAGTTTTCTTGCTGTCGCTTTGACAGTTCATCTAGGATGCAAGAGGAAGGGCCCCACGCTCTGTGTCAGGGGGCTGAAAGAACAGGAATGTGTTATGCATCATCTTGAGAACTGGGTACTCTGCAAGTTAGAAAGGAAGCTGAATTTGACTGCAGAGAGTGTAACCAACCCTCCTTCCTTGGATGTGGTTTTCTTGATTTATTTTTTTCTTTTTTCTTTTATTTCTTTTTGCTGACAGTTGCCGGAGAAATTTACTCCTCCAGCCCCCATCACAGCTCCAGTAATGAGTCTGCCTGCTGATCCCCAAGGGGTCCATCCTCAGCTGTCCAGATTGCAAGAATCTGGCCAGTCACCCCCAGGAGCACCCAAGGAAGGCAGCCTGCAGGTACCCAGGGAAAGTGGGGCGTTCCTCAGCCACCAGCTCCTTGTCAAGTGGAAAAACAACACAGTTTTTGAGATTCTTATTACTTGGCAGCTGCAGGGCTCATATTGCTCCCTAGCCCTTACAAGACATCTCTGCCTGAGTGTTAGAGGAATTGCCAGGAAGGAAAATGACACCTGGGTATAGCTGAGAGAGAGAGAGAGGCCAGGCAGGCCGTCAGCCTGCTGGGAGTTGAGAATCCACAGAGGCCTGAAGCTATACCGCAGTCTGAAGATGATAATATAACTTTGTGCTTCCAGGTATTCTCTGGGTTTGCAAAGGAGTAAAATTCATTCTGTTCATAGTTGCAGGAGGGGAATCTACCTGCCCCAGCCTTTCATGCTCCTGTTGCATTCATTCAGCTGCTTCTCTCTCTGTCAGTATCACCAGCTACCCCTGGAGAGGGTTGAGAGGAAGGAGGTGCCCCCTGAGCACCAGGCTCTGAAGGCCACGTTTGAAGGGCTGGTGCAACGCTGCTCTGCTGTCGCCACTGATCCAGTAAGTCCTCCTTTCTCTGATCTTTGGCTTTTTTGCCCTCATAGATATTTGGCTGATGCTTCCTTCTTTTGGTTGGGAAAAGAGAGGAAGAGTCTTGTCCCTATAACCAAGTTAGTCTCCATCTGCCTCCTTCCTTTAGGCCATAGGCTTGCCTATCTCTTGGGAACTGGTATGCATTCTCTAGCATTGATCCACTGCTTCTCATTGCTTCTCTGGAGCAATGGTTCTGTTCCCCTGGCTCTTTTATGTGAAGAAAGCAGAAGAAATGACCCAGCTAATTCAGCTTCCTTTTTCTCTGGCTTGATCGATAGATAGTTCCTGAAGAGCTGGCATTACCAGCTATCCTCAGACCTTAGAAGGAAAAGCTGAGGTATCGTGACTGGAAGAGAAGGCCAGACAATCTTTGTGTCTGAGTTACTGTAATTTCTCCATCTTGGTTCCTGGAAGGCTGTTGGCACGCATGTCACGTTCTGTGAATGTACCAGGCCAGACTGTCTGGAAGCAGAAAGGCAGTGTTTACAACATTGTGTTAGGTCGCGAAGTCTTCTCAGAGCTTGGGGGCACCATGAAGTCTTCCAGAATACCTCTGCTTAGTGGGCATTAGATTGAGCACTGAGCCCGAACTGCTCTCCCAGAGTCAGACAATTTTTGTGTAGCAGCAGCTTCATCATGTTTGCTGTGTGCTTTCTGAGAGTGCAGTGTAGCAATTTCTGGGAGATAACCTAAAGGTTCCCTTTGTGGACAGAAAGGCCTATCAGTTTGAGCTTAAGCACTCGGCTTACATGGAGGTCGAACAGCTGGGTTGGTGCAGCAATGCAACGCACCTAAGCTCCTGAGGCTGCCAGGCCTGTCCCAGCGTTGCCCAGAGCCAGGCGTTTCTGTTCACGGTATAATTTACCTGAGTGTATTATCCAAGGTAGGGTTAGTGGGGTCAGTCTCACCAGAGCTTCAGTACTCAGGCCCTTTCCTTGGTGATTACCTAGAGTGAGAAGGATATTCCCTCTTTTCCTCAAGGAGACCAGGAAGAAGCTTATGCTTAGGTCAGCTAGGGTGAGGCTGTCTGAATGTCCTGTGGGTCAGTTAGTGGGTATTTCTCAAGCTTTGGAAGTAGTCTCTGTCCTATGGTCTGCAAGCACTGGCAGAAGGGAGGAATGCCTAGGCTGGGAGATGGGAAAGGGGGCAAATCTAGCTTCCTGTCTTGTGGAGAGAACGCATACATGTATATACACACAGTGATGGCACAGCTGGCTTGTATCACAGTCCCTGGCTGGCAGAGGCTGAGATGCCGCTGGATTGTAAGGTGCTGTGGGAAGAACAGAGGAGGGGAGGGACTGAACGAGAGCAACTTGCTTCTGGGAGAGGTGGCCTTAAAGCTCTGACAAAGCTAGCAATACCTGTTTCACTTCAGAAAACCCGAAGGAAGCTGGAGGATGCGTTGCAGCGGCTGGAGTGTTTGTATGAGAAGCTCCGTGAGCAGGTGGTAAGTAGATGCCACGATTCCCTGTAGTCCAGTCAAGTTCCTCATTCCACCTTTGCACTGGGTAGTGGGCCTTGGTGTCTGTCCCAGTGTTACCAGCATGTAACCTCTTGAGAAAGCTAGGGGAGTGCCAAACCTTATAATGCCCCTTGAATCCAGCCAGCCTTATCTCGTCTTCCTTAACCTTGGCCCAGACATAGCGTAAGGAAAAGCTGGGGAGGTATTTGCAGGATCCTTTTCACCCCAGGAAGTATACTGGCATATAGACAGATTCCAGACGGCAATGGGCAATTGAGGGTGGTTGTTAAGTATGAACCTAATGTAACCTCTGGCTTAGAAAACTCTGAAACTCCTGATGCCAATTGCTGGAGGGATAGCAATCAAGGGAAGAATCCTTTTAATACATATTTTTGTCCTGAGTGTCGTATTAAACCTGAACAGAGACAGGATTCTTTTCTAGATGGACCTTTGACCTCCTCAGATACATCAGATAATTAATGCGGAAATGTCATCACTTAGGACCTGCATGCACTGTAACCCAGCCTGGGTATTAGATTAATGTGGGCTGGGAAATTGAGGGAAGAAGCAGGCCATCGTTCCTGCCAGTGCTTGACTATGTAGGTGCTGTTTGGTGAGGATGAGGGTGGAAAACAGGAGGGAAAAAGATGTGGAGGGAGGGAGGGCTGTGTTACAGTGCTGAGCATGCTAACTCATTTCTGCTCCCTCCCGACAGCTCTCTCCAACCATCCTCATGGGTCTCCATGAAATTGCCCGCTGCATTGAGGCTAGAAACTACCAACAGGGTCTCCTGGTTCACACCCAAGTGGTGAGCAGCAGCAGTTTCAGTGAGGTGTCTGGTTTCATGCCCATCCTGAAAGTTCTCATGACCATTGCTGGCAAGCTGAATGTGTAAAGTGTGGAGCAGCTGGAACAGTGCACACTGAGAGCTGGTGGACTTGCTCACCTGTTGATGTGCTGCAGGTTGTGGACTCTTCTTCTGACTCTGGAGAAATAAGTCTGCTAGTGCTTGGAACTGTGCTGGGCCAGCACACATGGCCCCATCCACTTTCCGGACAGCCAAGTGGGGCCTGGGACTCCTGGAGATTGTTCTTTCCCTTCTTTCTCACTAGTCTGAGGCTGCTTCCCAGCCCAGGGATCTCAATTTCAGGCTGTCTAGGTTGCACAGAAATCCCTCCTCTTCCCTGGCACAAAGGAGAAACTCCTTCCCACCTAGGCTGATGTTTCTTTTTTTTTTTTTTTTTGGGTGGGGGAAGGATGAACAGAGCTGACATCTGCAGCGCCACCAGACAGAAGAGTCTCAGGCTCTATTTCCTGCCGCAGTTCAAACTGCCTGAGTGACAGCTGGGCTCCCTTGGGACCTAAGCTGGGGTGTCCATGCTCTGTCGGGCTGTAGTGAGGATCTCTCCTCTGGTTCCTCCTTTCTCTTCATTCTCATCCTTGACTTGCTTTCTTAGCCCTCTGCACCCATATCCTGCTACAGCTAGGGCTAGCTACCAGCTTGCTCTGAGCTAGCTTTGGTTCTCTCTCTTCTTCACCCAGCCCTCTCCTATTTACCTTCTATCTCCCCTCCTTTGTGTCTTTTCCTCCATAAGCTGCAGGCTTGAGCCCTTTAAAATGTTTCAGGCCCAGCACTGATTCCCCCTTCCAGCTCCTGGGACTCTCCAGTTCAGGAATGCTAGCAGGTTGGACTGCTCTGTGCACTCCTCCCCAGAGCCAATTGCATCTTGGTTTTGGGCTAAAAGCCACCTGCTATGACTTCTGGTCTTTTTCACTTCCTTTATGTTAGCACAGTTGGCCTTTTGCCCACTGGTGTTATTTAAAGGCTTCCTACATTGGGCTTTTCAGACGGTCTAGGGGCTTTAAGAGCAGCAGGTCCTGTAAAGAATCCCCTTGAGCTGCTCTGACCAGCCGAGACTTGAGCAGGGGGAGACAGCTCATTGCTCCAAGTGTGGTGCATTCATTTTGCCTACAGTAACAGATAGGTGTAGAGGTGGTTCTCAAAGGCTCCTTGGCACTGTGGTGGTAGGAATATGCTGCAGGAGGCGATGCTGTCAGGTCTTGAGGATATGGCTGTACTGAGACCTTTCATCACTGTGGCATTTGCTCTGGGGTAAAATAGATGAAGGAAGCATATCTGTCCTTGGGGAAGAATTCTGAGTGGGAAGGCAGATAGGATTTTAGGGCACATCTGTGTGTATGTGTCTTTCCCTCTCCTCCTCCTTCTTTGCTTTCCTCTCTCTCACCCTCTTTCATGCTAACCAGGCAGTGTAATCATTGGGCCCTAGCTGGGAGCAAGGCTTCTTCCCGGCGTTTGGCTGCAGCCAGCCCCTGCTTTTGCTGCTTGCGTGATAATGCCATTGTGGGCCTGTGGTTCAGTGACTTAGGCAAATCAGCCTGCTCTACCAGGAGACTTAGAAGGGAGGAGAATCAGAGAAGGGAGGGAGAGGACATGTCTCATTCTCTCCTTTCCCGGTCAAAGTGCCTCCTTGTTGCTGCTGTGTTGTTTCTATCGCTGCAGTTTGATGCACTGAGAGATTACAGACAAGTGAAATAAAAGCTGTGTTTTGTGATGCTGCTAGCTTTTTTTCATAGGCTTGTCACCTGTGGCTACAGGGGACTTCTCTCAGTCTGCAGGGCCACCCACTGAGAGCTGAGTTAGCAGCTTTGGTGAGGGGGGCAATTGAGAACGATGTGGGCCAACCAGATTCTGAGCTCTGCTGGTGTGGGCAGCAACTGTCCTGATGTGGTGAGACCTCAGGCCTTATCCACTCCGTAAGGCTGCAGGGTCAGAGAACTGATCTTCGCCCAATCACCCGTCTCAATTGTGACTGTTCATCTGCATCAGACTCAAGAAAGTCCCTAGGATGGCTGAGGTTCTCTTGAGGAATCACAGCAATGTTCGGGATTTTACACTTGACATCAGGAGTTGGAAGTATGTCAGTAAGTAAACAGAGAGCCCTTGATGAGATCCTTTTCTGTTGGAAATCAATGTTACACCACTGAAACCATGCCACTTAAACTAGGATGAGGATCTGACCTGTGTGGAAATCAGATTTTTACCGTTGAATTGTCAGTTCTTACCATTAGTTGTTAACTTCTGAATCTGTTAGCTGATTTCATTTAAGCTTTTAAGGAGGTAAGAGGCTGAAGTGAAACATTGGTACTGAGATAGAGGGGGGATCAAGTTAGCTTCTGCAAAAAGACTGATGTGATCTCAAAATTGTATGTATATATGTACAGGCCAGCCAGTCAGCACACATGAAACTCTGAAATATGCAGGACTGTATTACCTGGCTTGTGGTTGGAGGACTTGGGAGGAAGTAAAGGTTGAGAAAGATTGTTTGAATGGGGAAGATTTGAAGGGCCATTGCTGGGAAGGGAACAGGGTTTATGAAAGTTCTAGGGTGTTAGGGACACAGGACACACATTCAGGGAAAACCAGCCTTTGTTAGTTCTGCGTGTGGCAGAGACCAACACCAAGTGTAAGGGAGTCTTGCAGAGCTTTTGCAGCCTGATCTGGGAGCAGTCAGCAACCAGTCTGGCCTTGAAGGTGTCCTCTGTCAGGGAGATGCAAGCTGATTTTCAAAGGCAACACTTGTACAGCATCAGAAGTGGTCATAACACAAGTGAGCAGGTAGCCTTGGAGGCGTACATTTGCTTAAGATGTAAGGAAAGTCCTAGCTTTCTGAGATCATTTAACAAGCCTAGTATTTTAGATTCTGCTTTTCTGGATCCAGTTATGGTACCCTGTGCAGACCAACGCCTCTCTCTATTTAACTCAGGCCACTTGTACCGCTGAGAAATAAGCACGGATTTTCCATGTGTTTCTCAGATGCATTTGACTTGAGTTCCCTCCAGCACGCACAGCTCCCTCTACCCATGGACTCATGCAGAGACTGGCTGTTTATCCTGCCTTTGCAGCAAGTCCTGCCTGCTTGCCCCTTTGTCCACTGTTGCTCAGTTTTGCCTCAGGTTTACCCCAGCAAGCACTGTCCCTAAAACTCTTGGTAGGGAAACCAGGCAGGGGGAAGTGAGTGACTCACTCGAGGGTCTTTGATGGGCTTGGGGTGGGAGCCTCATCTCTGTGGCCCTGGTGCGGAATACATCCTCGCAAGTCCCACTGGAAAGCGCTCCTCCATTTATAGCAGGATCTCTGCTGACTGGTAACAGCTTCTGGTCTACAGACAGTGGCTCCTCAGTGTTGCCTCCTCCCGTGTGGGCACACGCTACCACAGCATCCCTGCACCGCTCGGCCGCGCAGAGGAAGCGTTTTCTCTTGGGTGAGAAGGCCTTTGGGTTGACAAAGAATTGGGGGCGGGGGGGGCGGCGGTAGGAAAGGATCCCTGGGCGCAGAGAACAGAGCTCTAATCCTGTTGCAGATAACATGTCTGCGGGCTAGGCTTGTGTGTGTTTGGGGGAGCTGGAGAGGCAGAGATTGTTAGGCAGGATTTGTTTGTAAAGCCACTTGCTCTGAAGATAATGCTTGCACTAACTTCTATTGAGGGAGCAGTGTGAGTCCCCACAAAGTCCTTTCCCAAAGTGTCTTTGAAGCCAAGAACCCATTGAAAGGAAGAAAGGCCGAGAGAGGGGATTAGTTTGTTCAGCAGCTGTGAATTTCAGTGGGAGGCTGATGAACTCCAAAGTCTTTGTTGAGATGTTTTTTGTGAGGAGCCCTGCTGGAGGGAGAGACCCACGCGGGGCCGGCCTTAGACAAGAAGGAATCCGAAGCGGCAGGGAGCTGTAAACGGGCCACAAGGACTTTTCCCAAACACTTTTCGGAAAAGGTGGTGTGAAGAGAGCGGAGGGGGATTAGCATGTGAAATGACACTTTCCATTGACTCCACAGAGGGGAGGGGAAAAGGGCTGGCTGGCTGATTTATTAGCATTTTGTTCCCTTCTCTGTTCTGCTCCCCCAGCAGCCCCCCCCTCCCCTTGCTCCCCTCCTCTCCAGACCTCTAAAGAGGGTTGGATTGGAAAAGGGAGCGGGGGCTGCCTGTTTGTGTGTCATCTGGGCGAAGGTGACCACCTGGGAAGCTGAATGTAAATATTTCTCCTCTGAGGAATGTGCCTTCATTAAACCGAAATGAATACATGGAAGCATCCAATCCCGCCGCACAATGGCAGCAGTGCCTTTACCACTAAGGGCTCCTTGTGCCGGGGAGGGGGGCACCCCTCCGGCCCCGACCCACTGCTGAGGTCAGCACATTTTGCAGCTGTGATGTCGCCATTTTCTCCCGGAGAAAGAAGTGTGCGGCGGTGGGACTCATGCTCATAATGTTCCCCGCATGGCCCCTTCACTAACGGCGTCACCGTGCCCAGAGGGCACCTCCTGGGCTGTGCCACAGCCTCCCTGGGGCAACTGTGTGGGGCAATCGTGTCAGCAGGGGAGGGACAGGGTAGCATAGCCTGTCATGTGCTGAAGAGTGGGAGGAAATGGGAAACAGCTTCCACGTCTTCTTCTTTTCTTATGTTTCCAGCTGGCAGTGAAACGGTGGGCACAGAGGGACAAGGTGGTAGAAGCTGTGCTCTTTGCCTTGCAGTGGTCCTTAAGCCAGCCCACGCTGGAGCTTTCGCTGCTGGGTGAGAGGGTCTCACCACCTCTTTGCTTTCCTGCCCCAGGATGTGTTCCCGCCGCACGGAGATGGAGCAACTATTGGCGAAGATGCAAGGGAGACTGAGGGCAGGGTCACTGTATTAATAAGAGCTTTTGCACAAACAGCTGGTGGTTTTTGTGTGAATGGAAGTGTTTCAGATTTCCTTGAGAATGGGCCAAGTTTGTTTCTTGCAATTTTTGAAGGGCCAGGTTCTTGCTTAACATGAATGCTTCTGCTTTGGTTAGCCCCCAGCTTGCCCTAGGTCCAAATTCCCACCCCCAGAAAGTAGTCCTGGGATCGAGGTGGTGTTTGATAACTAAGAGACACATGCAGACTGCTGGGTGTCTTTAATGTATCATCTCTGAAGTAAGCAACTGGGCCCGTCTGCCCTCCTCCCACCCCCTTCTCTCCTGGCAGCTGCATTGCAGTTGGACGCAACCTCAAGCAAGCTCAAGGAGAGAGCAGGCCCTTCTCTTCCTAGCAGCAACTGAGGTTGTGCTGCATGGAGGAAACTGGTCGGCTCCTCTTATACTCAACAGAGGGGTAAGTGGCTGGGTTATGTTCTCCAGAACTGTAGCTACATACATCTACACTTGCAATCAGACGAAAAAACCTCCAACTACTTAGACGCAACAGCATTTT